AGACATTCGAGAGCTTGCACTCAGTTTCAAAGATTTTGCCGTTTCTAGACAGGTGAGAACAGCAGCGGGTCTGCACTCTACTCCTGCTGACTGGGGGGGAATTGACGGGACTGGTGTTGGAGAGGCCAGTCATGTCTGTAACTCTCTCCTTTCCCCCATCCCACTCCCTAGGACAAAGGGATAACATTCCAGGACAGCAAGGTCAGCAACTTAGAGCTCTCTGGAAGGGCAGCGAGCTGAGGGGTTCAGGGGACCTGGGCCTGAGTCCTGGCTCTGCTGTTGGGCAGGTCACACACCCCCACACACATAGCCCCGGTCTCTGAGCCTCTGGAGCCTCATATGTAACAGGAGGGGCTTGAGCTAGACTGTCCCTAAGGTGGATTCTAGCTTTGACATGATCTTGGAGGCTGGGTCAGAGACTGGCGAGGCTGGGCTTTCTCAAACTTGGAAGGTGCCTTGCCAGGAGAGGACAAGCCTTCTGGACTAGAGCCTCCCTGGAGTTTAGATGAGTCGTAGGGCAGGGTCTGGGTTCCCAGGAAATCCAGGGTAGTTAAATCTTCTTTACGTGCTAGGAGGGGCAGGGAGGTCCAATGAGAGGCGGGTGGGGGAGGGAGAGGGAGAAAGATGAAGCTTGCTGTATTGCTCGGTGTTAACCTAGGAGGGTGTTTCTTCCTTTGTTGGCCTAGTCTTACTCTGTAAGCGTCCTTTTGGACTTTCTCTCAGCTGGGAAGAGGAGGATGGTGGCAAGGACACTGTCTTGGATTAAGCCCACCTTCCGTCCCTGGGCTGTGAAGCCTTCCATCCGTCTATCCATCCTCCCTCCTTCTTGCTAGAGCAAACGGTGAAGAGAAGTCATTCCTGCTTCTACCATCTCTCTTTTGTCTCCAACTTTGTTGGGGTTTGGATTAAATGTGAAGCTTTGGCTAAAATCCTTGGGTTGCCTTAGAGCGCTGACACTAAGAACTTGGTATTACAAGGAAGGGGGAGGACCAAGAAAGCGCAAGAGGAATGCTTTGATAGAAGTGGATTCTCTCCATTGCCCTGTCTGTGACCCAAGCTTGACCATGTCCACACGTTTGCAGGCAGCACGTCTAGGGTGAAATCTTGGAGGAAGGATTAGGGAGAGAATCTTTCTGGACTGTGTGGTCTCAGAAGAATCCTTTCTGCGCCATACCATGCTGTGTCTTTAGCTCTTCAGGGCAGCCAAGGCCAGCCCTTCCTCCCTAGGGGCCCCCAGGAGAAATAGCGCTCTCCTCTCTTCCCCCAAGTGGTAGGGCACCCCCTGAGTCCACCTGCCCACTCCAGTAGGAAGCTTGAGAACCTCTCTTCCTGACTCTTTCCTCCTCCGTCCTTCGTCTCTAGGCTGTGAGACAATCATCCCATCCACCACTTAACATCCCCGACCCTCATCCCCCAGCTTCCAGCAGGCTGGCCCCACTCCCCTCCACCTCTAGGTTTTCTTCCAGAAGATGCATTTTTGGGTCCGAGAGGAGCACTTTCTGGAAGGCCACCTTTTAGCAGCCCTGCTTGCCTGACGTGCAGCAGGAACTTGCCCACCGTGCAGAGAGCTGCCCCCGCCTCCCCACCTCTCTGCCCTCCTTGTTACCTCACTCCTGCTCCAGCCGTGGCTGCGATGGACCCAGCCAGCTCCCTGTTTTGGCGTTCCGGGGGAAGCTCAGGGGTCTGGGCCATCGTTTTCTGTTGCGACTTGAGGTCCTCAGCAGGCCTGGAAGCCTGGACTGGAGCCTTGGCTGCTGGCGAGAAGCACTTTGCCTGCCAAGAGGAGTTGATGCCAGACGATGTACCCGACATGTGAAGGCATTAAAGAACATTGTCACCTCTGCCCCTTGGCCCTCCTTGCTTCTCTCAACATGATGAGACACTGCAGAAGCAAAAAATGGTGGCCTCCGCTCCAGGCAAGTCAGCTGGCTGTGTCTGGGGAGTTGGCCCTGGGCTTGGGTGCCACGCACTGAGATGGCAGAGTAAAAGCAAGCATTTTTGCCAGCGACAGTGTGTGGCTCCCCACATTTCTCTGTCCTGCACTCTAGGGCCAGACCACTCTCTGCATGGACCAGACCATCTTCCCAAACCCATGGTGCTTTCCCCCCAACTCAACCTAGACTCCAAGGTGGGGAGGGATGGGTCCGAGGCCGTTGTGGCCGCTGGAGAATCCTGACGTGGGGGTGGGGGTGGGGTGAGGCAGAGGGAGCATCCCCAACCCCTGCCCGGGGCCATTACGGGGAAGAACACAGGTTAATTGCAGTTGAGCTGTCTGGCCGCCTGTATTTGGAGCTATAGCTGTACTTTGCCTGGCGCTGTGCGCAAGGTCTAAAAACTTAACCGCTAGTACCTAGAGACAAACGAGGCTTCCCGGTCAAATCGTAATGTAAAGTAGCTAGAGCCATGGAGGTACAGTATGAATTAAAAAAAAAAAAAGTATTGAACTACATGTAATAAACGGTGTGTGTGTTCATTGCTTGATTCGTTAGTCCTCATGGTCCCAGATGTTTTTGGTCTTCCCAGGTGTGATCACAGCAAGCCCTGAAGGCATGTGTTCACAGGCACACACACAGACACACGTGCACAGCCAGCCATCTAGGACCTCCTTCCCAGGGGAGGGCGGCAGCCTGATGAAGTGGAATGGATAAGAAGTTTGGGAATCAGATCTGAGTCCAGATTGCAGCATCACTATTTACCAGCTGTGTCCTTGGGCCCCGACCATTACTGCCAACCTCAGTTTATTTTAGAGATAACATAAAATATATGTGTGTATATGTGTGTGTGTCTGTGTTTCTTAGTATAGTGGCTAGTACTATATGAAGATAATTTTATATCATTATTAATCAATCAATCAGTATCAATCAGTAGTAGTGTTATTCTAGGAGTGTATGGTAGACTGAATCCCAGTGACAATTTCTTGTGTAACTTTTCCCTTTTGGGGCCTTGGCACTTCTAGGAAGACACACACTGGGGGACAGCGTTGCTTTATTTCCTTAATGTTAGCCAACCTGGTAAGGGAGTGGGCCCCCCCTTCACTAGGTCTTCCTTGCTGGGAGCCCCTCACCAACTTGTTTGATGTCATTCAGGTGAGAACACTCTGGCTCTTGGATTCCTTTGTATTTGGGTAGGGAAGGAAAGAAGGGAGACAGTATGTTTAATTCTAGACTATTAAATGTATTTTTCATTCTCTGGGCATATATCCAGTGATTGTGAGTTCAGGAATTGATGTGGGCTGGGGAGGTAGGTAGAAGCCGTAGTATGTGTAGCAGACACACACAGTGGAGCAAAACCAGAGCAAGCAGTGTTTAGAGACACTTTATTGACATGAACAGGGAGTTTACTGAAAAACACCACATACAGGCATTAGGTTGTTGAGAGCTTGAGTGGTCAGGAACAACATTTCTCAAGTTCAGAAAAAGATTGGCTGTGGAAAATCAAGAAAAAGCCACACGAAGGTGACAACATGGTGACGAGTTCCATGGCTGTACGAATTCGCTGATCGTGTTTGGTGCCTCACAAACCTACAAGCGCTCGTCCTTCAGTGCCTCCCTCCCTGTCACTCTGCCCAAAAAGGAGTAATACCAGCTTTGAGGCTTAGCTGGCCTATGATAGGGGTTGAGTCTGAGCTACAGCTCAGACTCGCTTCAAATGTGCATCTACTGGGTCCTACTACAGCCTCAAGTAAGGGGAGGGGCGCCAAACATGGGTCGTCTGCCATGGTAGCGTTTTAGAGACTAGGAAAGGCTTGGATGATGATATTTTTAAAACCTAAGGGCGCAGGGCACACTCAGGGTCTAGACTGGTGCCTGACGCAGGGAGGGTGCTGAAATGCAGGATGAATGGATGATCGGAGTAATGACGCACCAAGTACTACACAGATACATTTGCCGTGACTAGGAGGACTCACTGGGTTGGGGGCTTTTCATTTACAAAAGGATGGGAGAGGAAGGTGTTTTTTGTTTTATTTTTCCATTTCCGCTTGGGAAGGAGAGCCAAGATATATTCTGAAATGGGTCTAGCTCCTTGCTGCTTCTTCCTGCCAAGATGCAGTTACACGGCCTTTTCTCTCTGATTTATGTCAGGTGGGTTCACAGATTCTGAGATGGGTATGTTTTCCTTTTTGATCCCGTAGTTTTGGGGGGAAAAAAGGAGCTACTATCTCTTCTCTTAACCATTCATAGCTCTATACATATTTTCAGCATATTCCTGCTCTGAAAAATTCCTTTCCTACTAACATTTCTAGTTTGGCATCTAAGGAGAAACCAGAAACTCAAGAGAGTCAGAAATCCGGGCGTGTGGGTGTTTGGGGGTGGTGACTCTAAAGGACAGTGCTTTTAGATGGACTGAAAATAAAGGCTGGTGTTGGGACAGGTGCTGACCGTCAAGGTATTTCCACACAAGAGTTGGGGCTGCGATGCAAGACTGAGCTGATGGCAAAGGTCAGTTGGGCGAGGTGCTCACAGGGCCAGCAGAGTTGAGCAATGAAGGTCATGGCTGTTAAGCCCAAGGGGAGGGAAAACCAGACCCAGCCGAGCTGGCCTTGAGTGAATTGTATTATTAAGCATCAGGGGAAATATCCAGCACCAAGACAACAGGTGGGGTTCCTAGAGTGATGGTAGCCCTTGAGAACATTTCTAAGCCCTTTAATAGAACAGCGTACCAGATAGAGCTTCCAGAGCAGTGCGCATTTATCTGGGTCCTTTGTAGGAATATGCGGGGGAACAGGGAGGGAGTGAGGATTTGAAGTAGGCTGGTGATCACAGTACCTTGTGGATTTATAGTCATGATCAAGTCTCCCAGGAAGGAGTTTAATTGCAATTCAGGAGAAATAATGAGGTACAAACCAACGAGAAAGGGGAAACGAACATGAGATTAAGACTGAAAGCACAGTTTTAGCATGGACCAAGAAGCAAAGTGGTAGAGGAGCAGTGGAGTGGGGTTAGGGGTGAGCGAAGATGTTTAACATCTCAGGACAAGCAAGAGAGACAAAGATTAGATGGAAGAAAAAAAAAAAAAAAGAAAAATGAGAGGAAAGGAAGCAGCTACGGTCTCAGTGGAAAGAGAGCTGGGCTAGGGCTCAGAAGACCTGAATTCCAGCTCTCTGTTTACCCACTATATGAACTTATGATTTGGTAAAGCTTCTTAGCCTCAGACAGCGTGTTTCTTCATTTGTTAACGTATTAGTAATATCCACCTCACAGAGCTAGTTGTGGAGAAGAAATAAGATAATTAAAATGCTTGGTAAATCATATAGCTTAATAAAGAAAGCATTAAAGATGAGAAGAGTTGAGAAGTTAGGAGGAGGAAAAGACTAGAGAAGATTACTTGTAAAGGATAAGAAAAAAAAGAGAGGTACCATTCAGCTTCATTAAAAATCACCCAGGAAATATCTGAGTTGGGCTTTTAAAAAGGAAAAAAAAACGTGCATTCTAGATCACAAGTTAGATGCGTGGTCTACTGAAGCAAGAGGGAAGTGGAGTGGTAGAAAGTAGTTTCTGCGGCAGGCTTCTCATCCACCATCCACGTGACTGGGAAAACCTCACAGTAATCCAGGCCTGTTTTCCTCACAGGAAAGTAAGGAAAATCTATATTCTGTCCCCTATTTCAGAGAGATTGTGTGGGAAATTACCAAAGAGAAAGGCCTTGAATTTATTGAAAGTATTTTCTTCGATAAAATCAGACTCTCAAATATGTAAACAAGGACTAATTCAAGTGCTTTCCCAGGGATGGCAGAGATGAACTGAGTTTGTCAGGTGAGACCCAAAGCCAAGAGAGTGGGATCTTTCCCCATAGATGCCCCTGGATCTGAGGGACATTTTGTTCATCGAATCCCAGTCACTTTCATCTTCTCACATCCCATAAAGCATCCTTCCCCCTCTCATCACAAGGTGCAGGAGGACATCACACTTACACCAATTACTCAAAGTGAAACATGAGATATCGACTAAAATGTTTCCAGTGTTCATCTGCTCTCCTAACATCTAGGGGAAAACAAAAAAAACCTTGGACATTATGAATTCACAGGTGAAATATTTGGAAGCCACCTAGCCTGTCCCTCCTCTATCACATCACTCATTTGCCATCATCTATCTCAGGCTAAAAACATATGTCTTAGTTAAATGCCATTCCCGGATGCGTTCCCCTTCTGGAAGATGTCTCAGATTCACAAATCTTTTCACTAAAGAAATTCTTCAAATCTACCTCACATCCTTCTCTCTGCCTTTTTGGCCAATCTCTAATTACCTGAATCAGAGCTAACCTCATCCAGGCAATCCACTGCGTTCTGTGCCATGGCCAGACTCAATTTCAAAGTCTTTTCAAGAACAAAATTATCCCATCTCGGGAAGTGTAAACTGGACCGCGCCTTAGGCTTCTATCTGCTCCAGTTTATCCTTTGAAGTCTCTTATCAGTGGAGTCCTGTCTTGAGTCTCCGTTGCCTCCTGTATGAGTAATAATACTGACCCACAGAAATTTTGAGAGGAAGAACTTGGGAATTGCAGTCCCAGTGCCCACAGGAAAACAATGCCACCTTGCCATCTCCGGTGGTGCGTTCACCTGGCAAGGCACACACGTTGCCCCAGGAGGATCATGAACATGTTGTATGACTTCCCAAGTCCCCTGCCCTCGGCTTCTTGAAGTACTGACACTAACTCAGGCCTTTGAGGCCTCTTGGGATCTAGCCCTGGAGCACCATAGTCCAGAGAACATTTTAGTCCATGCTTAATGAACTTTCTATCACTGGAGGGCCTAGAAACGCATGCTTTGCTCTGATGCTCCAGCCAAGTGGACCAGGAACTTAGAAAAACTGACTTCAAGGAATCCCACTTCATGACACTCTTGCTTTAACCCAGACTAATCACTCCAGCTTCCTTCCGTTAAGCCCTCCATTCACTTGCGGCAATGGAGAATCAGCGGGCTCCAGCACATGTTCAAAGCCAGGTGGAGCACGGGGGAGGGGTCCAGTTGGCATGGGAGCTGCTTGCTTGAAAGCAAGGGCAGGCTGAGGTTGAGTCGTGTAGAAATGTTGGCTCCTTGGTTCTGGCAAAGTCTTGTGTGTGGAGGTCTGATGGAGTTAGCAAGTCAGAGGTGACAGTTCAGAGGTGAGTGGATGTATGATGAATGAACTGAAGGATGGACGCGTGAAGGGAAGTGATGTGGCCCCTGGGGCACCCTCCTGACGCTGTTGACATCACTGAACATGGGGTAGCCAGCGCTTCAGTGTTCAGGCCACCTACCAGTGATAAAACAGCTCACTGAGGATTGCCAGCCCAGTCCAGCCCAGCCAAAGGCTCTCTGACCTCATCCACGATCCTTACATAGGAGGGAGAATGGGGAATTATTTTTTGTCACTGTGGGTAAGGAGTTCAAGTTGCCCCAACACTCAGGCCAAAGCAACTCACCTTCTGAAGGACTTGAACCTCGCACAGAGCTCTATGACTACTTGGGCATCAACTTAAAGAAGTACCCTGAGGGTGGGGACTCTGGGTAGGGTAGAAATCTAAGGGACCAAATCTAAAGTCATTTTGGTTTGTGGGTGTCAAGGTCACTTGTACAACCTGCCTCCTTATCTACCTGCCCCTCCCTTCCCTGTACATCACCTCCGGTTTCCCCCTCCTATTCCTCCACTGGTACCGCAGAGTTCTCTTTGTTCTCCGATGGGATCGCCAGGTAGTCAGACCTGTTGGAGGAGAGAGGGGGGAAGAAAATCAGTGCATTTGTACCCAGAGGTGCCAACACAGGAAAAGGGAAGGAGCAAGGGCCCCAGGAACAAGGATGTCTCTAGAACACCTCTGCACTTCCTTCTCACCATGTTACCCAAGAGAAAATGAGAATGGCCCTTTCAGCAGACTAGAATAATAAATACTTTTGTTTTTTCCTTCCACCAGCAACGTATGAGTCTTCTCATTTATCCACATTGTTCTCAGGACTTAGTACTGTTAGATTAAATCAGCCAAACTGATGGATGGGAAATTACATTTTATAGATCTTTTAATTTTCCTTTCCCTGATTACTGGTGAAGTTGAGCATCTTTTCATAAGTTTATAAGCAATTTGGGTTTGTACTTCTGCAATATGACTTCATTTGCTTTACCAGTTTTTCTTCTGAGACATTTGTCTTTTTCTTTGATGATTCCATGTCTTGAAAATATCTTTCTTTTTTCTCTTATAATTTATTTATTTTATTTTTGGCTGTGTCGGGTCTTCGTTGCTGCGCGCAGGCTTTCTCTAGTTGCAGCGAGTGGGGGCTACTCTTCGTTGCAGTGCATGGGCTTCTCATTGTGGTGGCTTCTCTTGTTGGTGGAGCATGGGCTCTAGGTGCACGGGCTTCAGTAGTTGTGGCATGTGGTCTCAGTAGTTGTGGTTCGTGGGCTCTAGAGCGCAGGCTCAGTAGTTGTGGCACACGGGCTCAGTTGCTCCGCGGCAGGTGGGATCTTCCAGGACCAGGGCTCGAACCCATGTCCCCTGCATTGGCAGGCGGATTCTTAACCACTGCACCACCAGGGAAGTCCAGTATCATAAAATCTTTACCCTAATAGCTGTATAAGAAATCTTTATATCTGACAGGAAAACTCCTACCAGCCACCTCCCCCAAACTTACTGTTCTTTGAAATAGGCAAACTATGGCCCATGAGCTAATAAAGGCTGTTACTTGTTTAAAGGGTTGCACACAAACAAAATGAAAGAACAGTAGGGGACAGAGACCCTCTGTAGCCTGAAAAGCCTAAAATATTTACTATCTGACCATCCTCCGGCTTAGACTAGTTTTAGCCTCTGGGCTTCTGTATGACTTTTAAGATTCGCTTATCAAGTTCCTTGAACAATCCATTGGGTATTTTGATGGGAATTTTACTGAATTTGCAGATTAATTTGGAAGAGAATTGCTATGTTTGTAACAGTGAGGTTTTAGTCTTCATTTATTTAACTCAAATCTTTCAGTAAAATTTTGTAATTTTCTCCTTAAATATCTTACACGTTTTTATCAGATTTATTCCCAGGTACTGGAGAGTATTTGTTGCTATTGTAATTGAATTTTTTAAAATGTTTTAAATATTGAGATGTTTCTCTAAATTTTTGTGGCTGGAATTTAGGTGCTTTTATATTTATAAATATTTTGATCTGTATCAACAATCTTATGAAATGTTCTTACTAGTTCTAATAGTTTGTCTATAGATTCCCTTGGATTTTCTATATAGGTAATCATATTGGCTGTGAATGATAATTTAGTTTCTTTCTTTACAATTTTTACTCTGTATAGAATAGAAGCAGGTATCCTTGACATGTTTCTAATATTATAGGCAGTTCTTCTAAAGTTGCCACATAGATGATATTTGCTGTAGGTTATACTAGTTGCTGCCATCAATCAGTTTAAAGATGGTTGGTGTTTAGGTTTAGACTTACATGTATTTATCTTGCTCAGGACACATTGAGCTGCCCGAATCTGAAGAGTCATACCTTTCCTTAGCCACTGTATCTCTGAATATTGTCTCTCCTCCATTTTCTCTCTTCTATTCTAATCGATCTTCTCAATTTTTGTCTTCCTATTTCTTTGTGATATTCCACCTTTTTATATCTCTGGGCTTCATTCTGTGAAACTTCCTTATGTTTATCTTCTGGTTACCAGTATCCAATCTCTGGTGAACCAATCCATTGAGTTTTGAATTTTATTGACTGTATTTTTCATTTCCAGGTTTTTCTTCATTCCCGTTCCAATCTGCCTGTTCTTTTTTCTTAATAACTTATTGTATTCTTGTGTTTTGGTTCCTCCTCTTGTTTTAACTCTTTTAAGCAAATTTCTTTTCTATATTCTACCAGGTCCTTCTCGTGTCTGAAGCTCCCGGGGTTTAATCCTGCCATCTGTTACTTCTCTTGCTCATGCTGGATTATTTCCTGCTGTGTCTTTTAGTTTTGGATGAGACTGTGGAATCAGATTCAGCAATGCTTTATCTGGGGAGCACTGTTAAGCCTCAGAGAAAAGTGGGTCCCTTCAGAAAATAGTTTTTCATTTGCGTCTACATGGTTATCACTGTCTGGGGACTAATTTTTTTTTTTATTGACTCTCTCAGCTTAGAGGTTCCTGGATCATGTGGGTAGCATAAATTTAAATCCCAAACATTGTGAGAGCAGGCTTGTGGTTACCGGTTCTCAAGAATCTTTTATGTTTCTGCTTGGAGTCAGGCCAGGTAGAGACGTTTCCTTGGCTTTCCTCTGGGCTGGTGGACTGATGATCATTCACTCATCTATCTTTTGCACGAGCTGTAGCCCTCTGAGGATCCTGGTTCTGCTGGTGACCTCAGTTCCAACTCTGTTTCTTGTGCAAGGCCAGCTGTGGGTACTTCCTGTCCAAGTGTGGGCACTTCCTATGCTCAAGCACTGAAATCTGATCACCCAGGTCACCAGGAATGACAACCTCCCCAGCATATCCTTTCTTTCCTTCTATCTGGTCAGTTATAATTTTTTACTTTCCTGAGATCATAGATATCCTGAAACATGATACTTTATCAAGCGTTTCTAGGTGATAATAGCCTAGGGTTTTTAGCTTATCACCTCCACTGTGTAAATCTGTGAGGGTTATTTTCTATCTTTCCTCTCCCCAAATAACAAGCCAACGCGGCCCCTTAGACTCTCAGACCCCATCATCTGTTACCTGTGCTCGAGTGACTAGGGCCTTGGCGAAAATGGCCAAGGTACAGTCCGGACGTTGGAGCAGAAGAGCCCGTCTCTGGGTTTTCAATCACGGCCAAGCTCCAGGGGGAAGAACATGTTTGGAGCTCCTTAGCTAATAGACGGCAGAGCCCAGGTGGCCTGATGAGCTCTGTGGTTTACAGCAAACAGCTGAATGTGTCGGGAACAGCAAGGACACCAGACAGGCTTCGGTTCAAATCCCAGCCTCTCCTCTCATTATCTGTGTGGCCCCAGCAAGCCACTGAAGCTCTTTGAACTGCTTCAGCATCTATAAAATGGTCCTAATAATGCTAATGTCATGGGATTGTGGTGGGAGCTGATGGGCTTTACATAGTGGTTAAGAGTGCAGGGCATGAGTTAGCAGGCACGAAGTCAAACTTTGCTTTGCCTCTTATAATGGTCTTGGGCAAACTTTCCCAGGCTCAGCTTTCGCATCTGTAAAATGGGTATATTCATGCTGCCTACCTCAAACGCTGTTGTGAGGAAAGTGGAGGACTGTGTAAATTGCTCACCACCTCACCCATGAGAGCAGGCGCTCGGAAGGTGCGAGCTATCATTATTTTGGCATCTTTGGACTTACGCATTTTCTTGGGCTGCCTCTTCGGCCTTTGAGACCTTCCTGTAGCAATATATCATCTCGATGAGCAGCCACAGAGTGAGGAAGACCAGGAGGATGTACATCATGATTTCTGAGACCACAGAGGTGAAGTCCTCTCCAGCTGCAAGGGGGAGAGTGAGGCTCACAATATGCATGTCCAACAAACCCAGAGCTGTCCCTGAGGTCTGAGATATACGAGGCCTATTTTTAGGTATGTCTTAAATAAGCACTGGGTCTAAAGGAACGCAAGAGGGTACCAATGAGATTTAACATCCCCTAATTCTCCTGCCTGTCAGCTTTCTCACTGACTTTCTTCAGATGCTCTGGAGGGAGGCATGAGGGAGAATGATGGGTGGAGGAAGAAGTTATAGAGCTGGAAGGAATCCTGGAGCTGAGATACATGCAGCCGGGTCCCAGTTTTCCTACTTCCCGGTGTGTGAACAGTCATTTCCCTGATTTGAGACTCAGTTTCTTAATTTGTAAAGTGAGGATAATAATTCGTACCACACATTACCTAATGTATTTAAGGATACCTTGTGAGATGTAAAAGTCTGCACAGATGTGAGGCACATGTCTTAGTTGAGCCGACTCTGTCCTCTGAGCTTAGGGTGGTGGAGTGTGGTACCCCCAGGAAGAGGGCGTCGGAAAACATGGACAGGGCCACGTGGACAGTGCCGTCAGCCCACCCAGGGACCTGAGCATGTCTGGATGAGAAGCAAGGACGTTCCCAGCTCATCTTCCCTCCAGGTCATTCCAAACCCAAACAGAAATGAGGGTTGGAGAATTCCACAGATTAACCAGGCTGTCCTCAGAGTTCTACTTCCGGAACACAGATCTGATCCTGCCATATACCTACTGAAAACCTTCCAGTATTCCACACCACCCTCAGCATAGAGACCTGACTCTCTTAACAGGGCACAGGAGGCCACTCGCCGTGCAGCCTTCCTCACCTCATTTGCATTCGGTTGGCCAGCAAAACCTCTCTACTCATACACGCTGTGGTCTTTTGGGATCTGTGGACGTTTCTTCTTTCTCTTCCCTCTTCCTAGATTGTATCTCACACCCCAGTGCTACCTCTGTCCCAACATCGCCTCCTGCTCTTCAATCTCCCAACCATTTTTCTAGACTCCACTGAAGTCACCTCCTCTGTGAAGCCTTCCTCAACTTCTCGTGCAGTGATTATTCACGTTCTTCTCCAGGCACTTTTCCGTCCACCTATTATAACACTTCCCAGATTGTACTGTGATGTGCTTCTCTCTCTTCTCTACTGACTGTATGGTTACTAAGAACATATTTATTTCTGAATTATCAGCCTGTTGCCTAATCCTAGAATACTTGAAGTATTCAATAAGTATTTGTGGAATGAATGAATATAAATAAATATTGATCTCCCTTGTTTCCTAACCAACAAAAATGACAAATAAAACACGATAGGGAATTCCCTGGCGGCCCAGTGGTTAGGACTCGGCACTTCCACAGGCGGGGCCCAGGGTCAATCCCAGGTTGGGGAACTAAGATCCCACAAGTCGTGTGGTGCAGCCAAAAAAAAAAAAAAAAATTTTTTTTTTCATTTTAAAAAAATAAATAACTGAAACATAATACATGGCAAATGTCCCGACATATATTCCTTCCTAGTGGCAAGGAAGGCTGCAGCCACATCTCCCTTTGCTAGCTCTCAGCAGCAAATTAGATTCATGGTTATTCATAGGGCATAAGTCATCCCCAAGGCCTTGCTCATTAAAAGCACAATATAGGCACAGCCATGACCTTCACCTCAGAGAAGCAGTCCAAGGGCTCCAGGATCACCCAGGTTTCCTAACTGGAGCTGGAGGTCACAGATGCAGCTTGAGGTACAGGAGAATGCCAGACACATCAAATGTCTTTTCACGGGCTGACAACGGTCTGGTTTGCAACGTGCTCAACTTCAAGCACCCTATTTCTTTCTTTTTTTTTTTTTTTTTTTTGCGGTACGCAGGCCTCTCACTGTTGTGGCCTCTCCCGTTGCGGAGCACAGGCTCCGGACGCGCAGGCCCAGCGGCCATGGCTCACAGGCCCAGCCGCTCCGCGGCATGTGGGATCTCCCCGGACTGGGGCACGAACGCATGTCCCCTGCATCGGCAGGCGGACTGTCAACCACTGCGCCACCAGGGAAGCCCCCCTATTTCTTTTTAAATGCAGTAGCCAGAAGTAGTACCACAGGAAGCTGTCCTCAGTAGCTTTATTTACCTCTAGGTGAAGAGAACTCAGACTTCTGTCTTAGAGCCAGGGGGTGAGAGCCTACGCCAGGATCAGTCCAGCTTGAGCAAAGAGAAGCAGGGAGGTTCTCTGGGACCACAGGGATGGAGCAGACGTGGGGAATGTGTCATGGTGGAGCGTGCAGCAGTATGAGAGCAGTGAATATCTGGGGGTGGGGATGCAGAGGGCTGCCAAAGGGGTCACGGGGTCGGGGGAAGAGAGAAAAAGAAAAAGTGGCAGGGAGTGGGCGGTGGTGGAGGGAAAAGATGCAGTGGAAACACAGGTAATAGAGGCAAAGATCTGGACCGCAGTCCTGCTTCTGGTGCTAACGTGCTTCATGTCTGGGCAAGCCCTCCTCTTCCAGAGCTCTGTCTCCCAGCCACAACATGAGGGCGTCAGAGCTGCACCCTCCCACCACCTGGGGAGTCATTTCAACTGACTTTCGCCAGACCGCACCCCAACCTGCTGCACTCACACCGCAGCAGTGGTATGGAGCCTTCTGCACTGAAGGAAAGCCCCCACAGCGATTCCGATGCCAGCTCTTTGTTCAGACCCCTGGACTGAAAGACAGCCAAGCTTCCTTCCAGCCCTAACGTCCCGAGGGGCTCTGTGGCTCTGATGACAAACTTGTTTTCCCTCTATTCTTACCCAAGTCTGGCTCTGGTGCCCGGCAGGCAGGCAGACTGGCTCCGCTTTGCCACCCTTTCCATGGCTGCGCAAAGGTCTCTGGAGGCAAAAGCCTTTGAGAGCACAAGGTGGAGACCGAGGCAGCTTCCTAGGGCCTGGCTGTCACCAGCCGACAGTCTCGAGGGTGAACAGCAGAGGGCGCCAGGCTCCCTTCCCCCGGGGGCACAGGTGTGTAAACAGAAGAGGATAATGGAACTTCTGAACAGAAAAATACCTTAGAGAGCTCCCAGTCCAACCCCCTCGATTCACACAAGAAGAGACGGGCTCAAGGAGGGGAAGAGGCTCATCAGGTCTGAGCCAAGTGGCCTGAGAGTCCCTGTGCACCATCTGGATTGACCTACCTTCCGTTTCAGTCTTGTCTAAATCATGACATCGCTCGCTCTGTTGTGCACTCTCGTTTGCTTCATGAATTTAATCACCATAACACGATAAAAAAATAAATACACTTGTGGCCTGAAAGTCGGGAATCCTGGCATCCTTTTCTAGGAAGAGCCTGGCTTTAATCTGACCTCTCCTTTCTTTCCTGCCCCACACCTTTTGCCTGTTCACTGACCTGCACCTTGGGGCAGCCATAATGCTGAGAACGTGCTGGAAATAGATCGTCTAGGAAGGGCTAAGTAAAATGGAGTCATCATTTAGCCTGGGTGAGAAAACACAAAGGGAGATGCATATATCGCTCCTCTGCCACATGAAGGAACATTTGCAAGGGGTGAGAAGCCACAGTACTCTGAACAGTGAGTCCATGGAAAGCAGAACAAGACCAGCTCTAAGTTCACCCTCAAGATTCTGGATTCGATCGCAACAGAAACTTTTGAGTTAGGTGGATGAAAGAACTTCCCAGCCTAACAAGGAACCAGCTGTGGGAAATCGGGAAAATTTAAAGATTGGAGAGCAAACCGCGTTTCCCCTTTTCATAGCTGAAAGTGAGGTTATATAACAAGAGACGCCACGGATGGGGAGGGGGTTGCTTGTATGACTACTGTAGAGGGAGGCAGAAGACAGAGACTGTCAGACTTTGGTTTACAGCAGTTGTTCTCAAAATGCGGTCCCCAGCAGCAACAGCATTTCCTGGAAACTTTTTTTGTCATGCTCCATCTACGGAATCAGAAAGCCTGGGTTTAAGAAGTCCTGCAGGGGGCTTCCCTGGTGACGCGGTGGTTGAGAGTCCACCTGCCGATGCAGGGGACACGGGTTCGTGCCCCGGTCCGGGAAGATCCCACATGCCGCAGAGCGGCTGGGCCCGTGAGCCATGGCCGCTGAGCCTGTGCGTCCGGAGCCTGTGCTCCGCAACGGGAGAGGCCACAATGGTGAGAGGCCCGCGTAACGCACAAAAAAAAAGAAGTCCTGCAGGGGAATCTGAGGCTGGCTGAAGTTTGAGCACCGCTAGTTCAGAGGTTTGTATGAGTCACAGACAAGAGGGTAGATGACCTCTAGAGAACCTCAGGAGATTTCTCTGAGCCCATTGAGTCTGAGATTCAGAGCAGGCCAGAGTAGGTGTAACTGTCTTGGCAGTTTTAGGCTTCAGGGAGGCTGTCCTCTTTCTCTAAAGGTGAGAGTCCAGGGACCGGGTCAAGATTACTGCACTATCATCTCCAAGCCTTTCTGCTTTGAGGAAAGACACAGAGAGGCAAGCTTTCGGGCGGCTTGCAGAAAGCTGGCCGCCCCAGGAGGACAAGCCAGTGGTGACATTTTTAGATATCACCACTCCAGATACATGGGGTTTTGCATTCTGCAAGGGCCTCATTTACGTGGAAACCCGCTGTCCTCCCTCCCCCGAGAGCAGGGCACCCAAGGGAGCCTGTGCCCTAGCCTTACCCTCCTCGGTGACACGGAGGGGGATCAGCCGGGTGGTCTTCACGAAGGGGCGATGTGCCTCAAACTCAAACTCCCGGGACACGTTGCAGGTATAGAGGCCGGAGTCGTTCAGGGTGACATTGAGCACAGTGATGGACACGTCCTGCAAGTCTTTGCTCCCGTTCCACTGCAGGCGTCCCTGGAAGGGGCTCTCCACCTCCTGGTGGCCGTTCCGATACTCATAGATCTGCAGGTAGAGAAGCAGAGGGTGTAGGAGAGAAGACAGGGTAGAGGTGGGGACAGGGCGGAGAAAAGGACCAGAATGGTGCTCGGATGTGGGGACGGGGACAGTGTTACCAGGGGGTCCCAAATGTGGGAGTGGGATGGGCATCTCAGAGGAGGGCAGGGAAGAGAGCAAAGACAGGGAAAGACGGGCAAAGGCACCCAGGTGTCAGGGCACATGGACAAGGCAGGAAGAGGTGGGCAGGGAAAAGGGCTGGAAAGAAAGAGGACAGAGGAAGGTGAGTGAAGTGTACAGAAGATCAGGAGAGGGAAATTGAGAGAAAGGAAGGATTGGAAGGAGGCAGAGAGAACAAGAGAGAAAGGTGTGTCATGGGGGCAGCCGGGGAGAGACTAAGGCAGAGAGGCAGCTTCATTCGTCATGAAGATGTCTGAGAGCTCCGGCCTCCAAAAGTGTCTCTCAGAGCTGGTCCCCTTGGAGGGGATGTGAGCAGTCGGGGCCAGGCCGCAGGAAGGGGACCCAGGCTGCTTAAGTGGCCCACATGAGCAGAGAGCTGCCAGCCAATGTGCACACATCAGCTCTTCCACTCTGGGCGAAATTAGATCTGAAATGTGGTCTCTACATTTCTCTTCTCAAACACTTCCACCTTCTGACATACCTTTTTTGTTGTTTCCTTCTACAGCTGTGCAGTCCATCTAGTTTCTGCTTGCCACGTGTGGCTACTTACATTAAAATTTAACTTACTAGGAATGAAATAAAATGTAACATTCAGTTTCTCAGTTGCACTAGCCACAGTTCAAGTGTTCAGTGCCACCTGTGGCTGGTGGCTACTGAACTGGACAGCACGAATATGGAACATGTTCATTGTCACAAAAATTTCTATTAGTGTTGTTCTGTATTTCCAGCACAATTTTTAAAGTTTCTTTTCCTCCATCTGAGCCACCTTCTCCTCACTTTGGGCAGGCCTGGAAGCAGAGCAGGTGGCTGGCATATGAACAGACCTGAGGCTCGTGGGGACCTTTGCATCTGGTCAAGACGTCCAGGCTCCTGTAACCTACGCGCTAGCCTCGGCTGCGGTCAGCCCTGAGCCAGGCACTAGGAAGCCTACTGTCCCAGGCCTGGCACCTGAGTGCAGCAAAGCCACATCAGAATGGCACATCCAGCCTAGAGTGAGAAATGAGTCCAGCTTTAGGAGAGCTAGACAGAAGGGCAAACAAAACCCAATTTCACCCTAATGTTGTGTCTCCATTAGGTCTTTGTGGGGAAAAACTTGCCCCCAGGAAGATGAGGCAGTGCAGCAAAAAGGGCTTTGTATCTGCTGTCAGACGACCTGGTTCAAATCTAAGCTGTCTTACTAACTTAATTTCTTTGATCCTTAGTTGCCCCATTTGTGTGTGTGTGTGTATTCTCTATCAAACACTTATACAGTACTTCTTGTATTCCAGAACTATTCTCGACGCATTAAAAATTATAGCACATGGGTCCTGGTAACAGCTCTGTGAGGTAGCTATGGCTTATACCCCCATTTTACAGATGAGGAAACTGAGGCACAGAGAGAGAGGTTAAGCAGTTTGTCCAAGGACACAGAGTTAAAATAAGTTGTGGAGTCAAGAATCAATCCCCATGGGCTTCCCTGGTGGCGCAGTGGTTGAGAGTCTGCCTGCCAATGCAGGGGACGTGGGTTCGTGCCCCAGTCCGGGAGGATCCCGCATGCCGCGAAGCGGCTGGGCCCGTGAGCCATGGCCGCTGGCCCTGCGCGTCCGGAGCCTGTGCTCCGCAACGGGGGAGGCCACAGCAGGGAGAGGCCCGCGTACCACAAAAAAAAAGAATCAATCCCAGGCAGCCTGGCTCCAAAGACAGTGACAATGTGAATAATGGTCATCCCCAAGTTGGTGTTCAAAGTATATAACAACCATTTTGGCACTGGCACCAACCAGTCAGAACTGACATTGGCCATGGCTGATCCCTTAGTTTCCACATCGTGGGAGGTCTGGAGGTTCCTAGCGGGAAGGATGGTGATGAAGCCACTTGGGAGATTTGGCACAAGTAACAACTATAGGACTATTTAAATATGTTACCCACTGATGTGTGTGTACCAGTTGCACATCAGTCTTGGTCATGCCTGACATTCTTGTTTCACTGAGATTGTGAGACTGAAATGAGGTAACCTATGCTATCTCATTTAATGACCCTTGGAGTTATTTCAATGTGAATTTAATCCATCCAGCAGGATGGTGCAGACGTTCGATGAAAACACCTGCACAGTGCCTAGTGGGGTGACTGGCACACAGTAGGCTCTAAATACTATTCATGCCTTTCTCCTTCTTACCCTGCCTGTAACCAGGAGTGCCCAGAGCTGGCCTGGAGCCCTCCCTTTCCCAGAGGCTGGGCTAAACTAAGGCTGTCAGTTATCTGCAGAGCAGCTGTCAGTGCTTTGGAGAGAAAGAGCCAGTGTTTGTCAGATCCTCATTCCCCAGGCTGTCGGGAGCCAGGCACACAATGGCAGAGGCCAGCGAAACAAAGGGCAGAGTCAGCAGTCAGACATACAAGGAAATCTTTACCGCCCTCGGGCCTGTAGAACCATTCCACCACCGTGGTGGCCTCAACGTCCTCCCTCTTCATGCAGGAGATGCAGCGCAGCTTCATGGGATTGCCCTGAACCGCCTCCGTCTCCGAGGGCACTTCCACACACACAGGGAAGCAGATACCAGCTGGGGAGAGCCCGGACGCCAGGGAAGGGACAGGAGGCGTTAGGGGAGAGGCAGTGGAGAACAAGGAGGGGGGAGGAGAGACAGAGAAGGCAGAATCATGAGACAAACTGGAAAACAGCATGCACGTGTACGTGTCTCCCCAGGTACACCCTCTCACAACGGGCAGAGATGAGCCAGCATTGACTGCAAGCCTCCCCGGAAGCAGCAGGGATGCGGTACAGCTCGTACCTCAGCTCTGCCCTCAAGGACTTAGAGTCAAGGTGGGAAACAGGGCACCCATGCATCCATCCATCAACCACCCATGCACCCCTTCATTCCACCAACACCCACAGAAATCTACTCTATGTCAGGCCTGACGCTGAGATGCAAAGATGAATAAAACACGCTTCACGCCCTAAAGACATTTATAGTCTAGCAGGGAACACATACTCCTGTCATAAAACCAGACCATGGTGAGTGACATACTAGAGGAGAGGCAGTTACTCCTGGCTGGGCTGGGAAGAGAGGAAGAGAAGGATGGTGAGACTTAAGGCCAGAAAGGTAGATCGGACCCATGTTGTGAAGACCTCTGTATGCCCTTCACAATAGGAGGGGTCACATGTTTTAAAGCCTTAGAGAGATGTAATCATATCTGTGTTTTATGGCAAATGTAGGTAATTCTGATGCATGGTGGAGGACGGAGCAGCAAGGAAGAGAACGGTGAGCTGACCCTGGGGCTGGGGCGATGATGCTTCACCCAAGGAGGAGAGAGACACACACAGTTAAAAATGAGGAAGGGGAAAAGGAGAAAATAATTTAAAAAATAAAAAAGTAAAATAAAATAAAAACAAAATTAAAAAAAGTAAAAAACAAAAAAAGGGGGAGTCAGATTGGGGGGCACCTTGGAGGCCACCCGCAGGCCTGGACTTATAGTTCCTGCCCTCTAGAAGCTCATGGCCCATTAAAGAGGGTAAGTACATCAGACTGAAAATTCAGAATGAATCAAAAGTGGGACGTGGCTGCCAAGAAAGCAAGTGCAAACGTGGGCTGTGTTATCAGATGTACACTGCAGGACAAAGGAGGAGCAGTTCCCCTGTGCGGTTCAGAGCAAATCTGGACCACTATGATCAGTTCAGGGTGTCACATCGTACGAAAGGAAGTTTTCAACGAGTGCATGTGCAGAGGAAAGCAAGATGGAGAAGGGTCTGGGGGCAAAGTCTGGTAAGAACAAAGCGGGGACCGGGAGTGCTTAGCTTGAACACCGACGCACCTGTCTTCAAATATTTGACGGTTGGCCTGTGGAAGAGAAAATAGATTCTTTCCAACTGCAAAAGTCACATGAAAGTAAAGCTAACTCAATTAAAAAAAATTTTTTTTTTCTGGTGCTGAAGCTGTTAACGAATTCGAAAGACTATTTGGTAAGAGAGTTTGCCTGTTATACAGAAGATTCAAAAGTGAGATGAATCACCAACGATTCTTGTATCAGAACTTCCAACCCCTTCTGAGGCTACCTTCTCATTAATAATAAAAACAGAACCCCTAAAAAATGAAATAATACACATAGTAATTTAAAAACTAGTCCACAGTGAATGGTCAGTCTGTTCCTCTACTGGCAGACAGTTCTTTCTAAAAGCAGAGAAAAGCTTTATTTAGAACTTAAAATGAGACTGACCGACTAACTATGAGTCAAAAAATGAAATATTTGACTCAGAAAGCAACAAATTTAATTTTTAGACATAGGGTTTAAAAACTAGAGGCACTATGATAAAATTTAACATATCAAGGTAAAATAAATTTTATTGGCTTTAAACTCTCAACAAGCGGGGGGTGGTTTTATCCGGCAGCCTGCAAGAGGCTCTCCTGCTTCTGCATATGGGTCATCACTTTAATCGGGGGAGGGTCCGTATCTAGAGAGAACTGATCAGAAACATTTTCAGAATATGAAGAGTTTGAAAACTTGAGTATAGGCCTGGTTTTAAAAAAAAAAAAAGCATGGTCTGTGCAAAAGTTTGGGAGTGGATAGAGGTGTAGAGTGTGCATTGAGAACCCCATGTAGCAGGGAGCCTCGGGGCACATTCATATTTAATGAGACGTGGTAAAGATGAGTTAGTTCAATGATGATGACTTCAGAGAAGAATAGGAAAGTGTACCAAGGAATGTATAGTTACGCTCATAGAGGCAGAAGAAAGACGGTATTGGGCAGCTGAAGGCTTGGGTTCGATGGACTTTTTTTGGCCGCACTGCGCAGCTTGCAGGATCTTAGTTCCCTAAACAGAGATAGAACCCAGGTCCCTACGGTGAAAGCACAGAGTCCTAACTACTGGACCGCCAGAGAATTCCTAGTTTGGTAGACTGTCTAACCTCTCTGAGACTCAGTCTATGCATCAACAAAATGCTGAAAATAATATTTATCTAATAGATGTGTCATGCAAATTCTGTGGGATGATTTCTACGAATGTGCTTTGTACGTTCGTTAATGTTATTTTCCTTCACTTATTTGTTCACTCATTCAACATACATTGAGTGCTTATTGTGTGCCAGGCACTGCTCTAGGCACTGAGAACACAACAGGGGACAAAACAGAAACCATCCCTGCTCTCAGGGAGCCCACATTCCAGTGGAAGGAGAGAGAAAATAAGCAACATTAAACTGCAATAAGTGCAATTATAAGAAAAAATAAAACAGAATAGAGGAGTTAGAGTGTGCATAGAATCATCAGAGACTCACTGAGAAGGTGATGTTGAGCAGGTGTTGAAGGAAAGAAAGGAGGGAGCAAGCTGTATGAATATCTGTGTGAAGGTGTGCAGAGGAGATAGCAACTCGAGAGCCCTAGGGTGGGAGTGTGTTGGCAAAAGCAAAAAGCACAATAAAGTACAGGGCACAAAGTGAGAGTAGGAGGAGATGAGGCAGGAGAAATAAGTCAGAGCCGGATCATGGCTGCTCTTCCAGCCCACAGTTAGATCTTTGGCTTTTGCTTTGAGTGACATGGGAGCATTGGAGGCTGCTGAGTGGAAGAATGACACGATTTATACAAAATTACCTGATCTGACTGCTATGTTGGGAATAAACTGAAGAGGTGAGGAAGGATAAGGGTGGAAGCAAAGAGAACAGTTAAGAGGCTGGTACAGTGATCAGACTGAGAGGTGGTTCAATGACTTTGCTTGGATGAAGGGAACAGTAGAGCTGCTGGGGCTTGAAAGTGTGTAGTTTGCTGGACTAACATCCTTGAATAGGTGAGAGGTGATAGCCTCTAGTGAACAAGTAGATGAGTTGGTCTTAAATATAAACACGGTTAGTTCATTTAGAGTTAAAGGAGGGAAGGCAGAATACACGCAGTCAGGATGGTGAGTAGGGCATGGCAGCCTCTCTTTGTTCTGAGTTGCCCCTGAGTAATCCAAGGTATCATCAGACAGCAAGCCCCACTGATCGCCTTCTCCTTGCCAAAGTCCGGTTTGAAGTCCTAATAAAGAACTCAGCTCATGAGGTCAATTTAATTCATGAGGTCCTGGATAGAACATTGCAAAATGGCCACAGAATCCTCTCATCCTTGTTTGCCTTCCTTTGCAATATGACTCGCTGCTCCTTTCACCAAAAGGTAAAGTATATTTCTTCACCCTGTAAGTCTCCAGTACACTATTGCCTCTCTTTCCAAGAAATCCTCTGGATATCCAAGAAAAGATTGTACATATGGTCGACATTCAACCCACATTGCTGACTGTAAATAATAAACTCCTAGAATAATCTTGGCCAAATCATTTGACCCATGGTCTCCTCTTCAATGTCTATAGTAATAATGAGGAAACCAGAGAAGGAAGAATATATTAATTATGATTATATTTAACTAAGGAATAGCATCAATCTATTATCAGGTGGATAGTAATGTGTATGTAACCAATTCCTCTAATAACCCCAAATCTTTTTCTTCTTTGGTTATTGCTATATTGCTCCTCTTAACTTTGCTCTACAATGCTAAGAAAATAAAGGCTTTGATTAGAATGTAAATACTTTCCAAAGGGGGGTAATAAATGATGTTATTTGTAGATATTAACACCCTGAAATGACTTGGTCTATCAGATTAGCCAGTCACTTAGCAGAGCCTTGAAAGAATGGGATGTAAAATGGGTTACTGGGGGAAGACAGGAAAACATTCCCCAACACAACCGACACCTGGGAGAGTAGACCTGGAGAGGAAAAACAGAGAAGACACTAGGAGGTAAAAATGAGTAAGGCCCTAGGAAAGGCAATGGCATGGGAGAGGAGTGGAAGGGTGGCTCCAAAGAGGGATGAGAGGACAGACGCCCACCCGGCAATCCTGTATAGCAGCACACATGTCCATAAGAGGAGCTAGAACAAGCCCTGGAAGACTGAAATCAAGAGGTAAGAGTTCTCTAGCAAGTCCTTTCCCCTCCACTGCACTCATTTTCTCATCTCTAAATTGGAAATAATACTGCTTTCCCTGACTACCACCATAGGATTGCTATGGGGACCAAAAGAAGAAATAGATTGAAAATTGCTTTGTAAACTGTAAAGCACAAGGCAAGCGTAGATTCTATTATTATTATTATTATTATATACTTTATTGAAGGAAATAAGGGAATTTTGTTCAATTCACGCAGAAAATAAAAGAATGGAAAAAATTCCATTCATATTGGGAAGGGTGAACACGTCTACGTTAAGTGCTTTGCACTGCTGGAATTACATGCAAACGTTACGTTACCCTGCCATTCAACTGTGCAGCTAAAAGGGACGTTAGATATCATCTGCCCCAATTTCCAAACATACGTACCTGAGGAACAGAGTACTCTAAGGCTATTACATAGCAAGCTAGTGGCAGAGCTGAGACTCCAATCCAGGCTTTGTAAGTCCTAGTCAAAAGGTCCCCCTCCACTAGAATTCAGCCAAATATGCTAAAAAGCTTAAATTAGGGTTTGGGAAGAAAGGCTCTGTAGAATCTCTCCCCAACCTTCTCTACAACTTCATCTCTCATTGCTTTACTCATGCTCTTTCTTATACAGCCCAACTAACCTCTCCTAAACCCCCTAGTCTTAGCCTCCCCCTGAGGAAATCACAGCCTTAAGTCTTCAAGGCAGGTGAGATCATTGGCGACCTATGATGTCTGCTTCATCTTCAGGTCTGGTCTACCCTACTGGGGATGGGTGGCGGTGAGTCTGCCCTTGGGACTGGCATTACTCTCCCTCTTTGTCCTTCCCAGCCTGTCTCATCAGGCATTTTGTTCAACAGGAAGCTTGGCTCTGCTTCTGGTCACATGCAAAATCCAGATAATGCTGGCAGCCAGAGTTAGTCCTGGAGGCTTAATAAAGTGATACTAAGGTAAAGAGGCTGTTCCCATCAGCATATCTGCCACTGCACCAGCAGAATGAGTTCCTGCCAACCACAGAGCATAATCCTATACCTAGTTTCAGTAAGGCAGGTGGGCATGCTCACATCTAATTATACTGGTTATTGATTTTTAACATGGAGGTATGTAGCTAAGATCATATAAAGCAATTATCAACTGGAGAGCACTTATATTTGACCTGAGGATCTAAGTTGCCAAGACTGAAATGCCCATAACTACACAACAACCACACACACACACACACACACACACACACACACACACACTACTACATCCTCATCAATCCATGCAGATGCCCATGCTAACATGCTCTGACATACACTAGCATACACATTCAGACCCTGAGACATACATCAACACAGTAAAGCATTCTCTCAATCACACATTCAGACATTATCATGTAGACTCATTAACTCCCACTACACACATGCAGACACCCCACTCCAAGCCCATCTCTAACACCACTCTGCTCAGCCTTACTGTTGCAAGTATAGGATTCCCTTATTTGGAGGGAGAAGGTCACCTCACTCCTTCACAGCAGACAAACAAGAACCTATTTATCGTTAAAGGCAAAAAACTCAGCCCCCCAAACACCAAAGCACCTTAATTCCACATGCTCATGAAAAAGAAGAAAGATGCAACTCCCAGGTGCCTATTTATCTAATATATCGCTGCAAATGGCTGAAGCCTGTTTTACTTACTGAAATTAAACAGATGGATCAACAACTAGTTTCATTCTCAAAATGCATGCATCCAGATTTTTTTAATATATAAAAATTAATTCAAAGACCTCATTGAGAAATGAAATGTAACGGTAACCGAGATTTTTAAATAATGAATGTGACTGCATGCTCTTTCAGCTACGGGAAAGGGAAAAAATACTTTGAAATTAACAGGAAATGGGAGGAAGGGTGGAAAAACCACCAAGGGAAGTTCAGGAATAAAGCAGCACGGGAGTGGGGAGGCCTTTTTCCAATCTCAGAATCCCAGCTCTCATGGAACCCCTCTGGATCCCGTGTCTGGCAGACATGCACAGGGGGAAGTCAGCCAGGGCTCCTCGTTTTCACCAACGACATCAATAAGTGTTATTACTGTTAGCATTATTACTGTCATCTGCATCTCGCATGGCAGGGTGCTGGTACTTACCCCACAAAATGAGCAGGAGCGAAGCCAGGGGAAACAATCTGTTGAAGCCAGGCATCTTTTTCAGCGGGTGGCTTCCGGGGCTAAACAGAGAGATTCCCTGGGTCAACAACTGCTCCCTCTCAGTACTTTCGAGGAAACCCTCTGGGACGAACTGCTCCAAGGGAGCGACTTTCTGACTGAAATAAGGGCCAAGTGCCGTTTACTGGGGAGGCTCTGCGGGCTTCTTGAGCCGGGCGGGGGTTTCAGCTCCAAGCCACCCTGGCGGACTGCCCCAGTTCGAGGGAGTGGATCGGCAGCGTGGCGCGCCCTCCCCGGAGCCCGTTGCTGGGATCCGGATCAGCACCACGGACAGAGCCTTCCCCGCCCACCCGGAACTTCCAATTCCAGTCGCTCAGCTGTTTCCCCTGTTTGCGCCTCGGGGAAAGCTCAGCTCCGAAGTGAGCGGCAGGCAGGCTCTAGGCGGCTCCGCTGCCCGAGGGGTCCCTGTTGATCCACCTCTCACCTCCCTACTGAGAGTTACGCTCCGACCAGGATCCACCCAGACCCGGGAGCGCCGGCTTCGTCCGCCCTGATCGCCTTCTCCAGCTGGGCCTGCCCTCACACCAGAAGCCACCGGGGCTGCCGTCTGAGCTACAGAACTCGTTCCACCTCAGTCCAGTCCACACCCGCCGAGCCTCCCCGGGGAGGTCCGGAGGGGGGCCAGGAAGGAGGCAGAAGCTTCTGTGCGGCCTGCGATCGAGAGGTGGGGTGGGTGGGCCCCGTGCCCGAGCTCGCCTGCAGATCGTGCAGGGGCCCAGACCCTGGGTGGCGCGTGACCAGCCGCCCTTCTCCAGGCGCCCCGACCGTGTGTGCTCCGTCAGCCTTGACATGCGCAGGCGGCTCTCCACCGCCACCGCCACCACTTACCCCCGCCCCCCAGCGCCAGTGCAATACTCCCCACCCCCAAACAGGCGTGCCCCTCTCAGGGCCGAGCGCGGCTGCCGAGCGCAGGGGCGGAGCTCGGAGCGGCGCAAAGACCTCAGCCCCCGCGATTTCTCTGCTCGCCGGCTGACTCCAGGTCTGCCTTTCGCATCTCCACACCTCTCCCCAGCACCGGCACGCCTCCTCTCACCAATTCACCGCCCCCACGCCCCCGCCCAAGCAACCCCGCTTTGGCTCCTGCACAGACATGCGAGCTTCCAGCTCCGGGAAGAGGAGGGCCAAATCTCTTTCAATGATGTCATCTTTAATGTACATGCTACATGGCTCCTGGCTTCTCTCCCCCGACCCCATTCCCTCCTGGTATATCCTTTGTCTAGCCTTGATTAATTGGTACCGGGCACCCTGAACGCAGCAAAATAATCCCTGCTTAGAAGTGGGGTAAGAGGGAGGCGCACCTGTTCCCGTGTTCACCTCCTCACTGGCTGAGGAGGTGATCCAAACGTCTGTGCAACAGTGGTGTTGGGGGTGGAGCAACTCCCTCTCGCTCTGCTCACTTTTTTGTTGTTGTTAAGTTTAAAAGCAGATAGACTGTGGTTTGGCTTCTTCCAACTATTAGCCTCACCCTAGCCCTAGCAGCTGTTTCACTGCCCCTCCCCATCCCTGGAAGGGAAACCTGAACGTTTAAATTTAGTTATAAACTCAAATTGACATAATAGATTAGGAATGCCTGGAACCGAGTGAAAGATTAATACAAGAACCTCTCCCCCCTTCTCATTCCCTACTGCTCCCTTTCCAAAACGGGAAGCTTGACACTGATATTCCAAAACAGAACGGCAGAGTAACGGCTGACTGTAAGTGAACCATGTGCAGGAAATTCTCCCTCCTAACATATCACAGAGCAACAGAATGTCCTTCTTCCTGGGCAGGGAGCCACCAGGCCATACTCTGTGTTGCTTTGAAGACCAGCCCTTGAATCACAGTGTGTTAGACCTGGAGAAGTTAAAGTCGACTTAATTCAACTTCCTTTCCAACTCTTGAATCCCCCAAGGACATTCCTGATGAACGGGCTTGGCCTTTGTCAGGAATGAGAGCTCACTACTTCACAAAGTCAGTCCCTTCTAACGTTTAAGGAAGTTCATCTTTATATTCAGTTGAATTCTGTACACTCTTCCTTCCTCCCCAAACTCCATTAAGTGGTCGGCAAAATGTTTTCCTTAAGAGATAGCTATGCTTCCCCACATCCCACCCCAGACTTTTTTGTTTGGGGCTAAGCTTCGTAAGTCTCTTCCAGTGTATTTTCTGGTAGTGTCCAACCCTTAACTACCCTGGTCACTGTCTCAGGAGGAATTTTAGTTTGTGGGCATGATACATCCAGAAGAGGGACTGATGTTTTCTGTGGGGTCTGCCAGCGTAAATCCAGGAGAATTATGGCCACAGTTGCTTTAGAAGGTACGTCTGTTCAGTTACATTTACAGCCATATCTCACTCATAATGAGCTATGGTCAGTTAAAATCCCTAAGTATTTTTCACTCAACTTGTTGCAGAGTTATCTTGTACTTATAGAGGGAATCTTGGCTGGGGGGGACTCCTCTGTGCTTATTGCTGTTAAAATTTATTAGTTTCAGGCTTCCCAGGTGGTGCAGTGGTTAAGCATCCACCTGCCAATGCAGGAGACATGGGTTCTAGCCCTGGTCCGGGAAGATTCCACATGCTGTGGAGCAACTAAGCCCGTGCGCCACAACTCCTGAGCCTGAGTGCCTAGAGCCCATGCTCCACAACAAGAGAAGCCACCGCAATGAGAAGCCCGCGCACCGCAACAAAGAGTAACTCCCGCTCACCGCAGCTAGAGGAAGCCTGTGCATGGCAACGAAGACCCAACGCAGCCAAAAATAAATAAATAAGTTAATTAATTAATTTTAAAAAATGTATTAGTTTCAACCAATTATCCCATGCTATTAATAATTGTATTGAATCCAGATTTAATCATCCAACATCTCTCTTTTTTAGCGTTGTTTCATCTTTAGGCTTGATAATCACTTGATCCAAACATAGATTTTTTTTTCAAATATAGATTTTTTTTTTCAAATATGGATTTTTTTTAATGGATAGGAAAAAAAAAAGAGTTCTTTGGCATGAGTTTAGAGACCTTATTCTAGTTTGACTAATTAGACTTCTTTGGTATTATTGCTCAATCACAAATAAATACCCAAACATATCTCCCTATTTTCCATATTTGTAACATAACACATTCTGAAAATTTAAAACGAAGGGTATATGTGAGAGGAATTAGACTTATAATGATCCAGATAAGAGAGATTTACATTTACATAGAAACAGATTTTCAGCAATACATTTCAAACCATTCCAAAGTGGAATGAATTACCTTTTGTTATGTTCAAGCAGCTGTTATCCAAAGAATTACTGGGATGTTGTAGAAAAAAAAAATCTTCTATAGGTTAGAAATTTGGAACGGATTGTTGATAAAGTTCCAGTCATCTTTGAGATTCTATGATCTTATTGAAAGTCTCACCCAAATACATAGAGTGACTGAAATATTTTCAGTCTGATAATTCCATCAACCATTACACTACAGCCATCACCACTACGGCCGCAGGAACTGGCTTAATTTTACATAATTTTTTCTTAGGTCTATTTGTGCAGATTCCTAATAATCACAATGTTCTTTTTGAAATATTTACCAGTCCCATTTTATTTTTTTTTTATTTATTTTTTTGCGGTACGCGGGCCTCTCACTGCTGTGGCCTCTCCTGTTGCGGAGCACAGGCTCCGGATGCGCAGGCTCAGCGGCCATGGCTCACGGGCCCAGCCGCTCCGCGGCATGTGGGATCTTCCTGGACCGGGGCACGAATCCGCGTCCCCCGCATCGGCAGGCGGACTCTCAGCCACTGCGCCACCAGGGAAGCCCCGCCAATCCCATTTTAAATAGTCAGTTTGAGGATTTTACTCCCCTGTCTCTCCTCTATTGAAAACAGGAGCATTTGGTCTCTTCAGTCTTCTGACGTTTCCTCTGATATTTGGCAGTACCTCTCAGTCACTTTCACAAGTACCTTAAATTCCCTAAAGTACCTCTGGCCTTGTTCTGAGAGTTCTTAACTCATTTAAATTAAGTTATCCCTTCCTCCTTTCTGCCATTTTAGCTTCAATCCTTTTCTGCTGGGATTTTGTTGTTTGTTTCTTTTTCTTTTTCTACCTTTCCCAATTTGATGATTATCTTCCCCTTACAGTCGAGGGTGAAACTGTAGTTTCTAGTCTACCAACAGTAGCCAGGGCACTCTTTGTATTCTGTGAGACCACGTACCTTTCTTGCTTGAAGCCCTTCAATAGCATCTCATTGAATAATAAAATAATAAATAAAATCTAGACTCCTCACCATGGTCTAGCAAGGCCTGCCCTGAGCCCTGCCTATCTCTTCACACTCACGTCTGCCATTCCCTGTCTTGCCCACAGTGTTCCAGTGACTCTTGACTTTTTAAATATGTGCCTCAAACTTAACAAGCTCTTTCCCGTCATAGAGCCTTTGCACGAGCTGTCCCCTCTGCCCAGGCCGCTCTTCATCCTGTGGCTGGTTTCTTATCATTCTACTCTTGCCTTAAATGACTTCTTAGAGTAGCACTTCCTGGACACACTCTCTAAACTGGTTTCCTACCTGTTTCCCCCATCTGAAGCTACTCTCTATCTCATTACCCTTTTTCTTGTTCTTCCCATCTTCTCTCACTATCCAAAATTATCTTATTTTAAATTTATGTACATACTTATGTTCTGTTTCCACCTCTCAGGGTGTAAGCTCCGTGAAAGCAGCCTTGTTTGTTCTTTTCGCTGCGGTATCCCTATGCCTGGATGGGTACCAGGCAAATATTCCATCCTTTGTGAATCCTGAATGAATGAATAAATGGATGGAGGAATGAGTGAGGTTAGTGCAGAAAGAGTGAAGAGCTGAGGCCATAATCAGTAGAGGGAACAGAAAAAAATAGTCAAAGGAATGGGAGAAGGTCCAGAAAGACGCAGTGCCACACTGGAGAAGGGAAGAGAAAATATCTAGACTTTGGGGACACTCCTCCTCAGAGGGGACTTCAGCTAATTGCTCTCAGAGATTGGGGAAGAGGAGGGGGGAGTATGGGGCCTGAGGTTTTCAGAGATTTTGAGGTGGAGGGAAGCAATGACTCTGACAGAAAAAAAAAAGAATGACATCTGAGATATGCATGGAGAAGTTAGTTTTTCCTGAGGAAAGAAACCCATTTCACTAAGATTATTGGGGGGAAAATTAGTAACAGTAGTGGCAGTGACGCTGTGAGTAAAGATAAAGCATGAGATCTTTATATATATATATATATATATATATACACACACACAAAAAATTGTCCACTGAGAGTAGGGACAAGGAAACTGGGGACAAGAAAACCAGTCTGTAATCACCATGGGGTCCTTCTTGACACATAGATTCCAAGAGAAGCATTTCAAGATCAACGCATACCTGAACATAGAGTCAAGATGCAGAAATCAGAGCCCAGTGTAGGCAAGTCAAATAAATGACCTGCTTCTGCTATTGTGAGTTTTGAAAAATAGTGCACACCCCATGGGATGAGAGGGAGGAAACCTCTTTATCTTAAACTGTGGCCAAAGAGCACATATGGGACTGAGAGATATTGGGCTCCCCCAGATCTTTCCCTTATCCTGTCTGCCGGCTGTGTGGTTACTGTCACCAGCCAAGGGATGTTTGGGATTAGAACAGGAAACAGTGACATGGTGACCAGACTATGCAATCTCTTTCTGGAACTGCACATGGCAGAGAACCTGGCAGGTAAGATGGGGCCAAACAAGTTTTTTGAATAGAACTGAATCCCATCTGAATGATTAGGGAAGCCAGAACTTTCCTGACACCCAGGAGGAACCCCACCACTCAGAACAGACCCTGTGTACAAAAACGC